ATACATGTTAATCAAAACATCACATCACTTTCCCCTTTCCTTGCCTTTTTCCATCCCTTCCCAAATTCTTTCCTTCCAAATTCTTTCTTTTAACTATGTGTAAGAATGTACAAACGTGAATCAAACCTGTTTAGTCCATTTCTGTTGGTTGTGTGTTTATGGTTTCAGGGCTGAATGCTTTGTATTGGATGTGCAGTTAGAGTTCATCCCTTCCTGAGGCTAATTCCCTCACTTGCAGGGGAGGCTCAATGGGAGGCAACCACATGGGGTCCTGTAGGGTGCTGTCACTGAAAGTTACATGTAGTTACCAACAAAAGGATAGAGCAGAAGACCCGGATGCGGCCGACTCACCACAGACACAAAAAATAGAGTAGGAGCCAGCTTGTTCTCAGGTACACTCCAAGTACTGCTGTCTGGCCTTTTAACCCTCTTTTGTTCACATCCAAGGCTCACTCCCTAATAGTTCATCCATACTCCATGGCTTTTTCTAAAGGATTGATTTCCCCAGCCTCAGAGTTACTTCTGTTTGACTCTCAGGTTTTCCTGACAACATCCATTTCATCTGGAGTCACCGTCCCTAAGGGCTCCTAAATGTTTTGCAGTCATCAGAGATGCAGAATACAATACCATTCATGCAAGTTGGGCTTCATGCTTGCAAGTTCCTTTTCTCTGCTTCCTTTTGGCATAAACTCTAGCAGGGATATAGCTAACAAGTGTCCTTGTGGGCTTCCATCCCTATTTCCCACATGTGACATAAACTGTCTTGTGGCTTTGGTGAAGCGGTCAAAGGTTTTTAAAAGACTTGTATTGTCAGTTTCTCCTCTGATCATCTTTGAACACTTCTCTAATTTTGTGGAGATCTGGGCTGAGAAACTTCTTTAAGAACAAAGCGTAAGTTATTTTTTTATGCTATTTTATACTATTCTGGGTCATCAGGGCTGAGGTAAAGATGAACTTAGGATCAACCAGTTACACCTCACTGCTATTAATGCCGTATTCATTGGCATTAGTCCCTAAGAGCACTGGCTGCTCATGCACAGAGCCCAGCTCTGATTCCCAGCACCCTAGAGACAGCTCACAACTGTCCCTAACTCTGGCCATGGGGGATCTGCCACTCTTCTCTGGCCTCCACTGATAGCTGCCATACACTTGGTATACACCGCAGCAAAACTTATGTGCCCAAATTAAATCAAATTTAATTAAAAATAAGATACATGAAGAAAACCTTTTTACAATATGGAATCACATATGTATGTGTCTTTTCACCATTAACATATCTGGTGCCCTAGGAGGCCAGAAGAATGAATCAGATGTCCTGGACCTAGAAATACAGGTAGTTCTGAGCCAGCTGAGGTGAGTGCTAGAAACCAAACTTGGGTACGTAAGAGGGGCAAGAGTACTAAGTCTGCAGCTCCCAAATATGACATCATAATGCAGAGGATGAAGATGCGTCATTACTTCATCACTTGAAGGTGATGAAGTCCCTGCTAGATGGGTATTAGAATTCACTGGATTTCTATTCTTCTGTGAACTAACTCTCCACATTGCTTCTTACTTTCATTGTTAACAATTCTCTTAATGTGAGTAAAGATAATAAGAGTTTTTGTTGAAATCAGAGTCCAGTAAGGTTAGGAAAATCTTTATAATTTGAGATAAACTATTCCTTTTTGGTGTCTTTTTGAGACAGGCTATCTCTACATAGCTACGGCTGTCCTGAAACTCACTATGTGGACCAAGCTGGCCTCAAACTCAGACAGATTGGCTTGACATTGTCTTCCAAGTACTGGGATTACAGAGATGCACCTTCAAGCCCAGCTATGTTTTAATGTGACCTATCTTTGAATCACAGAATGAAAGGATAAAATAAGATCTAAGAAGGAACCACCATTGTTTTGATGAACAGTAATACTTCTTGAAATTTTACAATAATACACTGAAAAATCATTTTATATATTCTCAATGATTGGGTTTTCTTTGCTTTGCAAATTACAGTCATTTAAAAACATTTGAAATGTTTGTGTGTATGCACCTGTGCCATGATGTGCACAGGACAGTGACAGGACAACTTATTGGTGTCTATTATCCACCTCGCCTATTTGAGTTCCAGAGATGAAACCCACGGAGTCACTTGGATCAAGTGACCTCATTAACCTTTATTTGGGTTTTTAAATATGTATGTGCTGGTGTAACATTCTTTTAAAGTAGCAGTATATAATTTTCATTTGCAAATAGAATTTATTATTCAAATTGGCCTCTTTTCCTCTATCCTTAGATGACAATATGTTTACAATTTGAAAAGAATATTTTACTGATGTAATGTTTCAATTAATCTTATTTGAGCATTAGCAGGAAATATCTGTGGTGTGCAAAGCTGGCAAGCTGATCTTGATCACCATGTAAAGATGGCCAACAGAGACACCATAAAGATGTCTCCCAGTCTCCACATGTCATGGCTAAAAACCCATAATTACATCACACACACAATTAAAACAAATTGCTAAATAAGTTTTTATTCATGTCTTTCTTGTGTAAGTATTTATTTCTACAACTCAAGTGTTGAGACTTCTAAAGGCTTGCCTATAGAGTTTTACTTCATCATGAATTGGTTCATGTAACGGAAAGCATGTAAGTTTGAAATGAGAAATAAATCCTTCTCAGTTGGTGGTATCATTTGTGAAGATCTAGGAAATGCTGCCCTGTCGGAGGAAATATGTCACTTGGGGTGGATTTGAGAATTTAACTCCACACACCATTTGTAGTTCCCATTCTCTGCTTCATGCTGCAGGTTGAGGATGTGAGCTCTGAAATTCCTGCTTTAGTTGCCATGTATGACACTTGTTGTGATGTTAGTTTCATAGTGATCCTATATCCCTCCAGAACCATAAGCCAAATTAAACTTTTATACATTGCCTTAGATATTGCTTTATTACAGCAAAAGAAAAGGCACGAATACACACCCATAAAGTTTTACACCTGGGTATGTAATTGAAAAAAAAACAGTAAAATCTTAAAAGGGTTCCCTTGTTGCTTAAATTCATGCAGCTTTTTCCCATTACTGGGAGGTTGCAAACAAAATAGAGAGGGATACAGTAATGCTTGACTAGATGATTGTCACTTATGGAGCTGGTGTTTAGCTACTTTGTGAATTCCTTTTTCTATCATCTTCTCCACTATTATTCCACCCTTCCAACCCCCAACACTAGGTAGGCGAGAAAGGATAAAGAGGAAAAGGGGTGTCATTATACTCGCTCCTGCTGATTAGAAATGTCAAGTTCCTTGGGGGCAAGTTCGATCTTCACTTCAGGATATTCAATTTCTTCTCTTTTTGATGTGTATGACCACTTGAGAAACTGCCCAAACCCCACAACCAACAGCAACCAGCCAACAGCAACCCCACTTCTTGAGGCCCTAGCATTTATATATCCTTTGAAAAGTTGCCAGAATTTCAAATGTCACACACTGGCAGAAACTGTCTGCAGCTGTCAAAACCACACCTTGATGGAGCATGAGATGAACCATGGCCACCTGCTGTAAAGCAGCCTCTTATCCCCACACCTGGGATTAAAATGAAAACATATTCCCATAACATTTCTGTGTTTATTAAAAGAAACCAGAATTCTCACTATACACTTGTCACATTTTTTTTCCTCCAGAATAATCTTGTGTAGCTGAATGTAAGTGTGGTTCTACAAAGATCTTGCCAAATCCTTTATAGTCACAGATTCCCTTCAGTGTGAATTCTTTTAGGTCCTCAAATACTACCATGATATGAAAAGGTTTTAACAAATTAATTACACACTAAAGGTTTTACTCAAGTATAAAGATACCATGAAGTGTAAAACTTTACCACACAGACTACATTTAGGGGTTTCTCTGGAGTATGACTTTTTCTCATGATTTCAAATATTGCTACATGCAAAGGCTTTTAACACGTTGCTTACATTCATAGGGTTTCCCTCCAGCATGTGTTATTTATTCATAGATGACTGTGTTGTGAAAAGGCTTTTTCACATTGATCACATTTGTAAGGTTTCTCTCCAGTGTGTGTTAGTTTACATATTTTAAGGTGTGACTGCGATATGCAAACATTGGGAACAAGCAAAAGAAACCTGTCCTAAGTACCACCTTTTTGTTTTCAGACTCCATTTAATCATCGGGTGAAACTAACTTCAGGTTCCCATGTCCTGGGAGAGCTGGGGGCTTCCCAAAAGCTAAGCAGCTTCCATTATTCATCTTTTGTTCTCCTAAACATAACTATTCTTAACCACGGCTTTTGTTATTTACTTTTTGTTTCCCAAAATATGACTGTTCTAACCATAAAAGAACAAATGAAGCTGATTATATTGTAAAACCCAAATTCTGTATCAGTTGACACAGATCAACCACATAAGGAAAGGCCCCATCCTTAAATCCTGATTGGTGAAAAAATTTAACTGTAATTTGGCACAGATGTTTGTGGTTTCAAGCTTAAAAGCTCTGTAACATTCTGGCTCCGGTCACATTTCAGCTCCTGAATCTGTTCTGTGGCACTGACAGATCAGTAGCAGCTTGATTACAATAAATCCTTGTCATTTGCGTTGACCCGGTTTTGAGTTGTGTTGGATCTAAGCAGTCAGCAGTCATCATAACACAAAGGCATTTAAGAACATTCATAAGGTTTCCTTCCAGTGTGTGTTCTATTCTGCATTCAGAGATAACTGTGAAGGGCAAAGGCTTTATAGCATTGCTTATATTCATAGGGCTTCTCACCAGTATAAATACTTTTGTGATAATGAAGACTATGGAAATGTGCAAAGGCTTTACCATGTTAAATATAGGGTTTCTCTCCAGCATGATTTCTTACATGCCTTTGAAGACCACTGCAACATGCAAAGGCTTTCCCACATTGGTTACATTCATAGGGTTTCTCTCCAGTATGTATTCTTTTATGTATTTGAAGACTTTTGTGATGTGAAAAGGCTTTATCACACTGATTACATTTGTA